CTCAGCCCACCAGGGGGTGGGGCTGGCAGGCATGTGGTGCTGGGGGATTGAACTGCGGTCCCTGTGCTTTGCTAAGCTTGTTCTAAGTAGGTGCTTTAGACCACTGAGCCATCTCACCAGCCCCAATAGTACTAATGTTGAGATCATAATTTATTACAAATTAGGTATAGGCAGGTATACCTGCAAAGGGGTAGATACAGTAAATGCTTTGGGGAGATGAACAAGCTCCCTATTCTAATTTTGGTGGTAGCATTAAGAATCTACATTTAAGGTGTTTTTTTTTGCTATACCCAGGATTGAACTCAGGACCCTGCACTTGCCAGGCAAGTGCTTATTGTACTGAGCTATCTCCCTGGGCCAAGAATCTACACTTATGTTAAGACTTATAAAACTGTACTCCAAAAAGAGCAAAGTCAGTCTTCCCAAATTAAAATACCTGTGCAGTAGATTTTGCAACAAGGGCCTCTTTCTATTCTGTCAATAAACATGTCTTCAGTATATCCACATTTTTTTTTTGATGGAATGGTAAAATCCAGAATTTTATTTAAAGTGGTCCTATGTTCATGATATTACCACACAACAGGTAGAAGTAAACAGAAATCATCTTGGAAAAAATTAACTACACATCACCTAGCAATAAAAACACACAATTAATATTGGCAGAGACAAAAACAATTGCTTCCAAAGCTATTTATGGAATTAGAGATGTATGTCCAAGTGTTCCAACAATTCTCTTTCCAGGTGTATTCCCTACAGAAAGTGTAGTATATGTGCACAAGAAGATGCTCACATATATGGAAGTGGAACATGGCCAATCAGGTTTGAAAGAAGTAGCAGGACATGACATATTAGTGGGTGGATGAGCTGTGGCCACTGAACTCAGCATCTTAGAACAATATAGCTTTTCTTGAGTAAAACTCAAAGTCAAGTTAAAAGGTTTAGGCAGACTGTTATAATTTATCTACATTTTAAAACTCAAGTTATGTGGTTATACATGCACCTCTATAAAACAAAAACCTTCATGAAGTTCGTAAACATTAACTTCTGGGGATGTTTACTTCAAGGGAAGTTAAGGACAGAGGTTCCACAAGGCAGAGGAAAAGGACACTATGCTTTGTTGATAATATTTATATTTTTCTATTTTAGAGATATGAGTTAAATAAAGTCTTCTAGTAATAGGAACTGTTTCTTTTTTATCCACATTTTTTAAAAGATGAGTTCTGGCTCTGTTGCTCAGGCTGATCCTGTACTTGTGAGATAGAGTGGGAGTGTTTTACAAATGTCCCGTCTTAGCAGGGTCCCTTTGGAGTTCCTTCAAGGAACAGGAATTGCAGGTGTGGTCCACTGTGGCCAGCTTTAGATGAATTTAAACTTTTTTTTTACATTAAATGCCGTATCAACATTTTAGAGCAGCAGCTTAGGCTGTCCTTTTGGGAAACATGGAAGATAAGAATGCTGCTTCAGAGCATTTTGGTAGTTGGAAATAATTCTTTTTTTGGTGGAACCAGGGATCAAATTCAAGACCCTGCACTTGCCAGGCAAGCACTTGTTCCACTGAGCTATCTCCCTGGCCCTTTTTTTGTTAAGGGTTTTTTTCTTTTTTTTGTATTTTAGTACAGAGTCTATAGGGTCTCACTACATAGATCAGACTCAGTGATCTGCCTGTGTTCAGCCTCCCAGGAGCTGGGATTACAGGTGCGAGCCACCACGCCCAGTCTCTATCACCATCTCAGCGTGCCCCCCCGGGGGGGAGTGCAACACGGCAGGCCACAGATAGAACCCCCAGCCCCTGCATCTGCCTAAGCAGGCACTTTAACCCACTGAGCTATTTGGCCAGCCTAATAATTCTTAACCAAGTATCAGGAAGTGAAACACAAAATTATTAGAGGTATTTTGAATTACTTGACTAGGCTGTATACCTATTCAAAGTGTTATGGTTTGTGCCTGGATGTTCCCCAAAGACTTATGCAGTCATGGAGGGGAGTGGGCTTTCCAGAGGTGGCTGAATCTAGAGGTTGTGAATGCTTCATGATCCAATGCTGGGATTAAAGGTGTGAGTGCTACACCAGACTTACAGTGGGTAGAGTGCATATAATATAAACAACAGTCTTCTGCTGTCATGAACTGTTGCCCCTCTGCTGTGTGCAACCCTGCCGTGGAGCCAGCAGATTATGAACTGAAACCTTTACAAAATGTAGGCTAAAAAAACCCTTTTCCCTTTAATTTTGGGGGTCAGGCGTTTGTCTAAGGAACAAGAGAAAAGTAACTAAGACACAAATACAAGCAAATACCCTAGAAGGAGAGTTTCTTAATATGTATGTAATTGAAAGCTCCATTTCCAACAAGTTATTCCATTTATATGCTATAGGCCATTATTATCCTATGTGAATACTTCCTGCAAAATATTGGGAAAATGACTTTAATCCAATACCTTCTCAACTGCCTTTTACATGTCAAGGACCATCTTAGGGTCATACTTCCTGTAGAAAGCCAATTCTAGAGAGAAGAAAATACTTTCCACTAACTTTTTAATGAAGAAACAAATACAAGCCTTTGAACTGTCAATTTATGACTGACCTGTGGTTTAATCACTCTTTGCCTCCTTTCATGATTTATGGTTCCTGGAAGGGGAATCCAAGATGGAACAGCCAACATTTTGATCAGGGGTCCAAGTCCTTATGGGGGAGAGTGGAGCTGAGAAGACTGTGGTAGAGAAACAAAGGCTCTCAGGCTGGCCAGAAGTCTAACGTGAATTTTGTGGTCTTTACTCAGAAGTGTTCAATGGAGCACAAAGCCTTGCCTTCAAAGTATCCCATGGTGGCATCAGCAGTTATAACAACTGATAACAGGCCAGGAACTTTTCTATGTAATTTCCTTGCACATCATTGTTATACATTCAGACATAACCCTATGAGTTGGCTATTGGGATTATTAATGATTGCAGACCCATTTCACAAATGAAGATACTAATTGTGTCAAGACGATGTGACTGCAAATGGACAAGAAGGAAGCTTGCATAGAATCAGAATTAGTGACTTAAATTACAACACTAAACTGGTCTCTCCAGTAAAATCCACACTCTTCACCATATGGGAGGTCTACTTCTTGCTGTAAGGGAAAAACCTCCCTCAATCAGGGGTACTCAGAAAGGCACAAGACAAACCAGTGGGGAGGAAAGGTGGACCCAGGCTGGGAATGACGTGTGATCAGGGGGTCACACAAAGATCATCTGTCAGATCTGTCCTCTTCTTGTACACTGGTTCCAGGACTGACGTGCATACATTCCTAGATCCAAGTACAGAAAGACATTTTCTACTGCTGTTTCCTTCCTGAGAACAAGGAAGTTTATACTTCAGAAGCTCTCCGCAGAGACTGCCTTTCACGTTAGCAAGCACTGGGTCAGTTCCCTATTCTTTGGTTAGTAGGGAGCCCACAGATGGGATGGCCATGGCGGCCTGAGCTGAAAGCCTGGAAATGGAATGGTTCTTGGCGGGACTCAGTTCTTATCTACCCCGAGGGACTCAGCTAGAGAACACTCCCTTCAGGAGGCATTCTCTGGCTTCCTCCCCAAGCCACAGACAGCAGACCTTGCTCGGAGTTCTCACCACACCCACCATCTCCCCTCTCTCAGTTCTAGTACCACTCAGCTGGTCTCAGATGGATATCTTCTGTCCCACCCACTAGGCCAGGAGCCAACAGAGTTAGCAATGTTGGGTGCTTAGCCACCACAGAGCCCTGACCCAAGTACATATCCACAAATATCTATCAGATGAAGTAAGAAGAACATGGATCCTCTATAAACAACTCACCTACATGTTACCCTTGTAGAATCTACATGGATCCATATGCAAAGGAAGACATTCCTGCACTGAGAGATCAGGTAACGTCCCTCATGTCACACAACCAGGAAGAGACTCGAATTCCATATCAGGTCTGCCTGACGGCAGTTGCACATGCCCCTGGTAGTGGAGCATGGCCTCTGGATTCTTGGCCCCCTCTAAAGTCTGAGCTAGAGAGTAACTGAGGTACAGAGTTCTGAAAGGAAAGTCCTGGAGGCTGGTCCCGATGTCCAGGGCTGGTCAGGGATCAGGTCACTCCTAGGGCAATGTTACCAGCCTTTACTAGTGCCAGGCTGTCCTCTCAGTGACCAGAGCACTGTAACAAACCTCATCAATGCCCCACTCACCCTGGCTTACATTTGAGTGGGAGGGATGCGAAAGTAACGGCTAAGCAAGCAAGTGCACAGCATGCCAGGCTGTTGAGCGTTGTCAAGACAGTTGTGCTGATTTTGACAACTGAAATAATGATGTTGGGGCAAGGATTGTAGATCAATGGTACAGCACTTGCCAGCCCTGGGCATGGACTTGAGTATGATCCCCAGCACTAAAAATAAAAGCCCTAAACTCCAAAACAGGTAAAATAGCAATAGCATGAGATATTTTCTGCCAACTGTCCCAAACGGTTTGAAACATTCATATGAACATAGTTTTGGTTCTAAGGAACAGGATTCCTTTTATGATAACAAGTAACACTATGATGCTTTTCCAGAAATGGCAAATTCCCATGGGTAAGTGACTGAGACCTGTGCAGGGTAAAGGATGCTGAAAAGTATTCACCTACCTTCTACAATGCCAGGGAAAAAGGAGTCTGAGTCCCAGCCATACAG